TGTACCTTGAAACGACTTGACAGGATTTCATTTGTTGGAACGGAAGTCCTATTTCATGTTATTGACTTCTCATTGAATCATTTGCCCTGTCCCTGCCATTGCTTTCTTCTGAAATTTGCTCAGTGGTGCACTGAGTCATTGTTCATGAACCTTGAACACCGCCCCCAACCAACCAACCAACCCCCCCGTAAAGACAGGCTGAAACAGGATGAGGAACACTGTGTGTGGGGGTGGCATAGAAAAGTGAGTGGGAGGAGGCAGGTGGACCCCATGCAGGGCCCGTATACAGCAAGCATCCATTAGTGTGGTATCCTGTTGATTCTTGTATTGTATCTGTGCATCCTCCCCTGGTAAACCACATTGCATCTCGTTCGGTTTGATGGAGCCCAGATGGTGCGAGCCGGTGTCCTTGTAGCTGTTTTGCCTGAATGAATTGATTTATGCCCCTGTTGAGCGCTTTGTCGTTTTCTCCCTGTTCAGCCTCTGCTTGTCCTCAGATTCTCTAATGAATTCATTTCATACCCCAGAACAGACCCCCCACCCCACCCCCAGTGTCAGAGACAGGAAGGATGGGGAAGCGGGTGCTGGATGCTGAGATGAGCATGGCTTCCAGTGGCCTTCCACTGTCCCAGTGCAGTGCATGCTGGGGAATGGGCAGGCGGTCTTCCCCACCTCCATAGCTATCCATAGCTGCCCACTTAAATGGCAGAAAATGGATAAGGAGCCACCAGTCTCTGCCGTCACCATTAATGTTGTGGTTATTTGCATTGGGAGGGCTCTGCCTGTGAAACCCTGTTTAATGTTTATTTGGAAGTCGCTCTGGCGAAGAGCGCCTGCTAAATGATGCAGTGTAATGGGTTCTTGGTTAATCTGTATGTTGCGCCATAATTAATGTGAATTTAATGGTGGTTTGAAACTTGCATAGACTCAGCATGTAAGACCAGATCAATAGGATTGCATCCAGAACAGCGCTCAGGCATGATTCTGTGGAAATAATGTACTTTTTTTTTCGCCTGGATTTTCTCCATTTCATTATCACTTTCACCCTCTCAACAAGGAAGATTTCTGCTACGCTGCTGCTAGGCAGGATTATGAAACAACGTTCTCGCCTAACGAACGAGCACTTTGTCATTCTTTACAGTGGGAGGGAGTGATGCACTCCAAGATATCGATTCAGTTCCCTTAAGCGCATACATGCCTCCAGCTTTTTACCAAAGGTGTTTTGCATATGTAAAAGAAAAAAAACCCACCTTTGTGTGATTTAACACTGAATCTATTATAAATTCATTTGAAGTCATACATTGAGACTGCAGGCTTTGAAGCTGTGGCCCTGGATAGAGAATCTGGGCAGGGTCCAAGAGATGAGCTTTGGAATGGTCTTTAAAAGGCTGCGTGCCTTAGCGTGATCGATACCTGACACTCACCCCAGCGAAGGACTGAGCAAACCCGCTGCAGCTCCGCACCCACTTCAGGTCTGAAGAAGCACGCTCCACCCCCCGGCTCCCAGCTCCCAGCTTCCGGTACACTGCCGTGGCAACCGTGAAGCTGCATTCTCATTCAGAGCAGAATCTTCTAATCAGGCGCCTCTTGCGTAATGAAATTAAAAACCCATGACTAAGTGTTTTCCCTTTCGGCTCATTAATATGCTTTTTGTGTTTGCGTTTGATTTGCTGAGGGCATGTCTGTATGGCGCGTTGTAGAATTGGCTCTTGATGTGTCCTCAGGGTGTGTTGGGTGAGAGGTGCGGTTTTTTGGCACATCAGAGTATAAGAAAGGGTCAGACGTGCTCATGTTCCACACACAGGTGGTACGAAGTGTGACATGATACCCCACTGGCTTCTGGGGCTCGGCCCAGAGACAGTGTTCTCCTTGGGTACATGGTATCCTTAAAGAGCCATCTTGACAGTATTGCATTGATTAGTGCGCTTTGAGGTGCGTTCTTTTGCATGAACGTTCCGCTGAATGTGTTGTTGTCAGAATCAGGTGAGCATAGTGTCCCGTGACATCATCAGCACCATCTCCTCTAGATTGACTCCAGCAGTCCGCATCGCAATGGACAGCCGTGCTGAGGTATGTGATGTGATCGTGTTAGAGTGGCTGGTTGTATAATTTGACAAATCTCAGTCCTCTGTCTTTAAAGAGGACTGACTGGGGCGTCGGGGTCAGCGGGGGCATTCTGGGAGAACAGGGTGCGAGAGGGGAGCTCTGTGCCGAAGCCCTCAGAGAGCGTGCACGCTCGCCCGTCATGCGTGAAATCCTCGGCTGTCAGTCCCGTGAAGCCACTGGGAGCTGACGACTTATTTGTCCGAGGCCGCCCCGCACAGAGGCTCACAGAGAGACGAACAGGGCAGACGACCCCCCACCCCAAAAACGAGGCGAGCCGAAGCCGGGGAGCCAGCGCACGGGAGAGAACACACCGGGCGGGGCATCATCTCCGCATGCAGGCGGCGGTATAAAAAGCCAGGGCTGCCGTAAATAGAAAGAGCACGCGGGCGGGGAGAGGGGGCTGCTGGGGACTTTGTGCCTCGTTTTTAAAAAAGCGTGGCAGCACGCGCGGCCTAACGGGGTGCGGGGCGCTCCGGGGAGAGCGGGAGCGGCGGGCACCGGCAGGATTTGCGAGGCGTTGGAGAGGATTATGTTTTTCAGGAGAGCGCGGCGTTGCATTGCAGTGTCCTCCGGCTGCGCTGAGAGCACTAATCGCAAATTGGAGGCGGCGTGTTCCCGGGCCCCGCACTCACCAAGCTCTTTAGATCAGCATTATGATTCCCCGTTTATGGGCCTCTGTGTTTTGCGGCCTTTTGTTTCCCCGTCAGCGAAGCAGCCGGCTCCGGCTGTCGCACCTTTAGCCTCTGCGAGCTCGTCAGGCTCCCTTCTCCCATCTCCCCCTCGAAGGGCTCCTCTGATCCCTTTGTTGGGCGAACAAAGACAAAAATGTGGCGGTTAGGTTTTTGGAACCGGGTTTTTGCTCCGTTAAGTCAATTGCGGCTTGTGGACCAGGGGCCCTGGTGATTGGCAGTGCGGTAACGAGTGTCTGTGATGTGGTGGCAGCGGCTGTGCGCAGAAACTCTATTCCTGCTCTGTTTGCGAGCCGAGTCCCTGTCACCGTATGTGTGAGGGAGAACGGTAGCTGACATTGAGTCATGGGGCCTTGCAGCGGCAGGGGAAACGTGTGAAGGGGGATGTCACCACGGAAATGTGAGATGATGTGAGTTTCGCAGGCAGGGGGTTTGCCGTTAAAGTGCCCGTGTTGCTGTTTCAATCCAATACGCAGCACTGATGTGCACCTGCAATTTGCTGTGTTATCACGCACACTGGTGTCCCCATATTAAAATCACATGCTAAACCATCATCAGATACTATAGGAAACTGAGATGTTGACCATGTTTGCATCACCTCTGATTTAGACGATCTGAGTTTGTGTATGTTGGCAGGTGATAGAGAGGGCGTCAGTGTAACATAGTGGTAAGGCACAGGACTTGTGACCGAAAGGTTGCTGGTTCAATTCCCAACTGGGGCACTGCTGTTGTACCCTTGGGCACGGTACTTAACCCAGAATTGCCTCAGTAAATATCCAGCTGTATAAAGGGGTAACATGTTAAAAAAATGTAATGTGTGGATAACAGCGTCTGCTAAATGCCAATAATTTAATGTAAGGAAGGATTGACAGAATTACCCTTCTCCCCTGAAACAAATGAAGTCCCAGCCCATATAAAATGGGTACATTTCTTAATTTCTAATGTGTGCAGTTATGAATTCACAGTTTCACTTGTGGGAAGGGGGACTTGGCATGTTTAATAAGCCAGAGGAAATGATCTGGGCGTGAGAATGCTAGATATTTGATTAAAATAGTCACAAAAGCTGGCACCGTGACGAGAGATCTTTGCACAGTGCAAGACTCTTTTTGGTGTGAATGGGATGCGAGAGGAACAGAAACAAGTTGTCTCTGTGACAGACCGTGTTGCAGAGAAGGCATCTCAAAAGCAAATGCAAACAACATATTTAATATTCCCCTAACTGGAGCGCTCACTTGTACAGAATTATTCACTGCAAGTCACCGCAGAGCAAGTGAGAGGTGATTTTTTTGTCAGCTCTGGAAGTGCATCTTTCTTTGATGTGCTGACAGGAAGTTCGGAGGCAGCACTCCTTAGCTTTTTTTTGCAGGCGGTGCTCTACATTTGTGGGCCGCAGAGAGTTCTCCTTTCCGTTCCTGTGCCCGGAACACCAAGGCAGAATCTGTTCTGGTGTCTGTCCTGGAAAGCTAGCGCAGGATGCTTTTCGTGGAAGCAATGACATTTCACTCCGTATTAGTCTCTAGGCTTGCACATTTAAAAAAAAAAGAACTGGGGTCCATCTTCCTTCTGTTGTTTGGGATGTGGCAGCAGGGACACTGGGAAGGCCTGAAGCAATGTGTTTAAGAGATTTGGCAGGGCCAGGTGGAAATTTCTGCGGGGCAAGCCCACCCGGGCCCCAATGTAGAACCAGGCTTGACTTCAGATGCACCAACATCAATGCATATTGCTGGGTCTCTATGTGTCATTGAAGAGGTCGTTTCATACTCGCCCCTTATTTGCTAGCTTAGCGGTATACTCAAGATGTACCTGTCTGTGGAGGGTAGGCTTTATTTTAATGGGTGGCTTTCATCTGCAGTGCTGCAGGCTTGTTGAGGCCACAGGGGCATTAGCTGGAAGGATGTTAATAGTTTCTCTGGCGGCTTTTACTGGCCTGTTATCCACGATAAAGCGCCATCCCCATGTGCGGTTGGGGGCCTGTTTCCACACCCATGTGGCTCTTCAATCTCTGGTTTTTACCTCGATATCCATGGCTCCATGACTGTGGCATGGGAGCCGTGGTGTCCCAGGTCTGTCCTTTCCCATATATCATTGCATTACATTGTTGTCATTTAACACATGCTTTTGTCCGGAGTGACTTCCAGTTTTATCCATTTATACAGCTGGATATTTACCGAGGCAATTGTGGATTGCCCTTGCCCAAGGGCACAACAGCAGTACCTCAGTGGGGGAATCGAACCAGCGACCTTTCAGTTACAAGCCCCATGCCTTACCACTGCACCATACTGCTATCACATCACAGGGCCTCTCTGAGAATCTGCATCCCCGGGACGTCAGACCGGCAATGCAGCTTCGTACATCCCCAGCACAATGGAGCAGCACTTTTCATTACCATGTTACAGTTGCTTTGCTGCCCACACGGAAGCCTATTTATATTTCTCCCCGTGCCGGCATAATGCAGCGCACACCGGCTCATCGGGGAGCGGCCTTAAACACACAATTTGCAGACGTTAATCGGCGCGACGCAATCTAAAGGGCCGTGCTGAAGAATCCTTTTCACTCGCGTCGCTGGCGAAAAACGAGAAGCGAATGAAGCTCAGGAGAAAAAAATATGCTTTGTAGCCGATTGTTTCACTGTGTGTATTTTTTGTTATTTCGAACTGAATATATTTAGCAGGGGTAGTAATATTATTGAGGGTGGTGGCTATCACCATTTTAGATACCATTTTAAACAAAAAATGTATTAATATGCATAATGATATTTACAGTGGGACTCTATTGTTTCTCTTTAATATTAAGTTTGTTTGCAGGTTTCTACCCTGTACTGTTTACAAATCTTGCATGCAGTGTTCAGTTAACTTAAAAACAAATTTTACATTTCAGAAACCTACATGTATTATTCAACCTAATAATTCATTCCAGCAATTCATAACTGTTAGGAAGTGACTGAGTAGCTTGGGTGAATTCTTGTTGTTGGGAAGCTGCTTAAGATTACAGTCGCTTTAGGTTTTTAACAGCCAGCTACAGTACTGTGCGTTATGCATCCGTTCGGTGTTCCACCCAGAGACACAGTGTCTTGAAATGTCTGCTGAGGAGGTGCTTGGTTGATTGTGCATATGACAGGTGCTCCTTACAGCAACCTGCTGTAGAATACCTGCCCACGCTGTATGAATGACACTCAATTGACACTAACTGGCTGAGAGTCTCATCTTGAAGCTTCCTGAGCTTCTCAGAGTGAGAGTGATAGTACTGCATTGGATGAAAAAATAAACCCACCCTCTTGATTTACATTTTTTTTTTTGCGCATATTCTACTTTTGTTTTTTAACTATGAGTCTGTTGCCAGGGCAGTTGGACTTCTTTCCTAGGTGGGCGGCCTTGGCGCAGTTGGTGTGTGGGGAAACCACTGAATTTGTTTACCAAATCATGCATTTGTCCCAGTGCACACAACTGTCCCTTTTTTGTTAAGTGCCCAACTGGCCTACAGTGCCCTTGATGAACCCAAAATTCTGGAGGGGTGGCAGCCTTCAAGGAGGGTATTTTAAACATTACGTCAGCCCCTGAGATCCCCTCCTTAAAAATGCCAGTACCAAGGTAGGAGGCAGGCGAGTGAACTTGTGTGTTATATCTTGGCAACATGCTCAGTCCTTGTGGTTTTTGCAGATTAAAGCAGCGTGGAGAAACTGCACTGCGGTCAGCCAGTTACTGTTAAGAGCGCCATCAATAATGCTGAATTTGGGTAGCGAGGGGGCCGAGTTTTTCCAACCACAGCAAATGCACCATGGATAAAGGTCTATTCCCCTCAAACTCCACAGCGATTTACTTTTAATTGGTCATTTGCAGACGCAAAGTGAAACCTGTATGAGAAGGCCCGGAAGGTATTGGGCTGCAGTGTGAAGCAAGGGTTAGTGAACTGGCCTCGGGACCGGAGATTTGCAGATTTTTGATAGGTCAGTACTGTTGACAACCCATGTGCAAAGTGCTGAACCTGAATTTCTCCAGTCATCATTCGTCTGCATAAGTAGATGATTTTCTAAAGCCAAAGCTATGGAAGTGGACCCAAATACGGACTTCTGCAAAGTGAATCATACCCTTGTGACGCACTCCCGCAGTCTGCAGTCTCGCACAAGACGTTCAAGCCTTTTACCTCCAGGCTACCTGGGTCCCCCAACCTTCAGAGGGCTTTTTGAAGCCGTCCCACGGCCACACGTTGCATCGCTGTGTGATTACCGCCCCGGTGAACAAGGAAGGAGAGCACTTTCTCTGCCTTTCTTGGCAGGAATAAAAGACGCCGGCACGGCTTGCCGCCTTGGATTTGTCCATCAGACTCGAGACTGGGAGTGGGGCTCGGTAGCGTGGCTTACAGAAGAGTGGTTTAGCCAGCTTCTATAGAGGTCCGCACTGCCTCGGGGCAGAACGCAGTGCTGCTCAGGACGAGAGCCCACATCCTGCTGGTATTGTTCCAAAATAGCTCTAAGTGGGTGTAATGCCTGCTCCTGCTCTGGTGAAATCTTCAAGAAAGAGCGTTTAGCCAGCGGCAGGGTGGACCGTCTGGTCATCTCCTCAAGGGGCAAGCGTTGCCAGATCACGTCCCAGGTCACGTGATCACGGTGGCACCCGTGCTCAGCGCTGGGGGGTTTGTTGCTCTAAAGGGTTAAGATGTCCCCGCTGTAGCCGCGGCGATAAACGCTGAGCATCGCTCCATGCCGTCATCCCCAGGACGGCACAATGAAGTTCTGTTGTCCACCGTGCACACAGTGGGGCCTCACAGGATCGACTAGAATGATACATTGTTACGGCACCAGCCATTCTCCTGGGGGGGGGGGGTGCAAGGGGGATCCTGGAGGGGTTGTTAGTTTCCCCGTCCGTTGTGACAGCTCTGGGATCGGCGCTTGATTCGGTTCAGGGTGAGACTGACTCTAATGGGAGCGGTGAACTTAAAAGGTCACCGCTGTCTCTCTGTCGGCTGAGACAGGAGACTGTATTTACTGCAGGTAATCTGTGAGTTAGGCTTTGACAGCATGAACCTGCAAAGCCATACAGTTGTTTTCATGCTGTTTGGATGTGTCAAGCTGACATAATGTTCATACTGCTTGTGACATTTTGCAGTTTGTGCTGTTGTCTGATCTTCCGCTTTGTAAATGATGTTTGACACAGGAATAGCAGAATGCTGTAATAGCTACTGGTGCTCTGACGTGTTGTGGAGTTTGTTCTGTAGCACGTTGAAAGACAGAGCTGTAATATGTGATTAGGTGAGATTTTGAACATTTCTGTGGAAATTCTGAGGTCTTTGTTTTCAGGCTGACAGCTAATAGGATTCCCCTAATGGCTCAAGAGGCACTCTCACAGGATTATAAACATGTTGCCGACTAATATTCTACTGACACAGACCATGAGGAAAATGTCATTCCAGTATTCATTATAGCTCTCGATGTTACAAACCAGAGTCCATCACATCAAGGAGTTAACCTTTGACCTACCTCTCAGTGGCCATTGAGGGAGCCGGCATTGATGGGCGGTTCTCAATCCAGGGCTGTATTAAGGAGCCTTTTTTTTCCCCCCGATCCACTGATTAAAAGTAGAAATGATTAGATTAGAAATGATGAACCTGCTACTGATGGTGGCTTTGTCCTTTTGTCATGAATTATAAGAATGATGACCCGGTTGTGCTTCAGTTCTGTTTCCATTTGCATGCATATTCCTCACCTCCCTTGCAGCCGAGATTGGGTTTTTCTGATAATCGTTATTTCCCAAACTTAATGAAAGAAACAGATGCCGAAATTGCAAGCAATTAGACCACAGCACCCCCTTACCTTTTCAATTATTGACGGTGACATAAAAGAAAAGATAATTGCAGTGAAATGTAGCATAACTAAGTAAGGAGCTCTTTTCATCTTTGGGTTTTATAGCTTTTCCTCCAAATATTAATTTTCCCCTCTGAGCGCACGGTGGAGTGCCTGCGGAGGATGAAAGGCAGAGAGATCCTCTCCCGACGCCTGAAGATGGAAAGAATGAGGAAAACAGTACAGCCACCTGTAGAAGGTGCCACATACACACACACACGCACACACACACACACATGGATACACATACACGGATACACACACACACACACACACACACACACACGGACACACACACTCACACACACACACACACACACACACACACACACACACACACACACACACAGACAGACACAGAGGTACTCACACACACACACACACACAAAGATACACACACACACACACACACACACACACATACACACGGATACTCTCTCACACACACACACACACACACAGACAGATACTCACACACACACACACGGACACACACAGATACTCACACACACACGGACAATCAAAGACACACACACACACACACACACAGTTTTGTGCATGTTATTTACATGCATTTCTTTGTGGAAGCTAGCTTTTAAACTAATCAAAGATGGAAAAACCAAGGTTTTGAAATGATTTCACTACACTTTTTGTACTTCATTACATGTTAATTTCAGATGGGTGATAAAAAAACAGCTCTGTGAGATATTAATAAAGGCAGCGACCTGCAAACAGGAACTTTGACCAGCCATTTTTCTCAATGCAGTATTTCCCGCAATTAGTCGCTTCATATTAGACGTTGCTTTGCTGCAGTTTATTTATGGGAGTCACGAGTGAAAGAAAACGTCACGATCTGTCATTCCACAATGGCGCAATAAACACACCTCCTGCTACTCAGGCGCACCCAGCGTGATGCTGAGGAGTGAGCTGGGAGATCACAGTGGCCTGTTTAATCACCCGGTCGGGGAAGCGAGAACACATCATGCCCATCTGAGCCTCATTGTATTGGCTTTCTATACGGTGAAGGATTGACTGCAATATCTGTCTCCTTACCTACAAAGCACTCCATAATCTGCCCTCTCCCTGCATCAGTGAACTCCTGTAGCTCCACACTCTTTCACTCAGCCTTTACTCATTAGAGAGCAACTTCCACTGCATCTCTAAAACCAAATTCCTCCGAGGAATGGGTTTTCTCCACCATGGCGCCTCTTCTCTGTACCACCATTACCGTATACTACCTCCATATACACTATTGCCTGCCTACCCTGGTTTGTTGTCCTTCTGAGTTATTTAAAGTGTTAATATTTCCTTATTATTATCTTTATTCATCTTCATTACTGTTTATCTTTACAAATGTTGAGTTTTCCCCGAAGTGAATGTTTGTTTTTTTTTCCCTCTGTACTATTATTGTACTATTATTTTTTTAGTGTAACTTCATATTTTGTGTT